AGAAGATGACTCATCCACAAACGCCACCTCAGCGTGCTACATGCCCAGGCACGTGAGGCAGCGATCGTGACCATCACCCAGCGCCAGGTAACGACCGCATCCAGAAATGCTTGGGTGATACGTTGTCTATAGCAAGACCCACATCGTCTTTATAAAGACGTAACGTCAAGTTTGCTAAGCAACGTCGTCTTTAGAAAGACGCACCCGAATTTGCTCTTTTAGGGGAAAAAGCTCTTTTAGCGTGCTGAGGCGCACAGGGGAGATGATCATCTGCAACACAAACAGGGGGTAGTGCAGCCTGATGTGTGCAACCCACTCAACACGGGAAACCACCACCGCTGAAGCGCCGTCCGCCAACACGAAGAGCTCTCCAAGAGCACGCTGAACTCATTCAGTCTTCTTCTCTCAGTAGAGTAGTCAGGAGCAGAACGATGTGATCGCTCGGCTCCGAAGCGAAAAGCTGAATATGCGCTGCATCTGCTGCCTACTTATACTCACGCTGTGATCAGCAGCAGCTGGATGCAATAATCGCATGCCAATGTGCATTGGCTCGTTTAGTTTACACTCGAAGTAGATTGGTCCCTCTAAGCGAGATCCCAATTCGTCGGTCCTCCGACGTGACGTCGAGAGTGACCGACTGAAAGGGAACTTGAAATCTTTTATCAACTTCCTTGGCAGTCATTAAAAAGATTTAAAGTTCAATACATAACATTTTAACATAATAGTGAATCATTTACATAATAGTGAAACTATTCTGCAAATTTCAGTCATGTGTGAGACTATTAGGATTATGACACACTAGCTGAAGTGTTAATGGTCCTTTTATTAAAAACAAAACAAATCAAAAAATATATTTAAAAAAAAATGTTGGTAACCAAACAGTTGTTGGTAGCCATTGACTTCCATAGGTTTTTTTGATTGTTTTTTTGGAAGTCAGTGGCTACCAGCTACTGTTCGGATCTAACGTTCTTCAAAATATCATATTTTCTGTTGAACAGACACTCTTACTCTTACAAGTTTGGAACTATACTTGAGGGTAAGTAAATGTTGACAGAATTTTCATTTTTGAGAGAACTATATCTTTAAAGGTAAAAATTCAACAATTTTAAAAGCAGGCAATAAAGAAGAATATAAAGGCTTCTTGGAGTGAGACACGATTAGTCATGTGACAACAACAGACATTAAAGGCCTGTTTTAGAATACTCAATCCAAAATTATTTTGTTCAAGTCTTTGCATGACAGGTTTGCTTTTATACTTCTCATTTCTGTGAAGTTTATTCCCCAGTGGCAGCATGTCTTAAAGATATTTGTATTCAATCTCCAGAAACCTTTAACCCATTTAATCACACCGGTCACAATAGTGACCGTATAAAAGGTTTTGATTTATAAAGCTCTAAAAACCTTACTGACTGATGTTTTAGTGCATTTCCTGCAAATATGGAAAGAATAAAGGGTCTCAATTAAATATGTGCGTGTGTCACATGGTTAGTGCAAACTGTCACATGACCAGAGCAGTTTATTAACTCCATTTTGCACCATTAGAAGATGATGGCCGCATCAAAGCTCCAAAATGAAAGGCTAGTAAAGTATGTTAACAAAGTTATGACAAATAATTTTGGTCCACATTATCTTTAAGTCTAGTATTAATATATGAATTCACATATGTTCAGTTTTGTTGAGCGTGGTCATAGAATGAGTAAATACGTTGATGGTCACAATAGTGACCGGTGGGATAACAATGCATTTAGGTATACAATATAAATCCAATTGCAGTTGTTAGTTAAGGCTGCACTAAAATGTTGCAATGACAAAATATTGCACTAAATTAAAAGTTCAAATGTTACAAATAAGTTACAATATTGATGTTGTAATACTAGTAGCACTAATATAAACATTTTATGATATATTTTGCAATAAAGTAACAATTTTGAAATTGATGGTTGTATTTTTTTGTCTTTTATCTCAGTATTCTTAACAGTGTTGTATAAGTTTTTTTATGCATAATAGTAACCCTAGAATGTGATCAAACAGTTTAAAATAAATGGGCTAAGATATATAACAATTCTACAAAACTGCAGAAATATGTTGATTCAGTATAATCATCCCACACCGGTGTGACTGACCATAAAACACAATTTTTTACACACTTTTTCAAAAAATAATTATTGATTATTTCAAAGGGTTACTAATGGAAAAAATTAAAAAATTAGGATTAAACGGGTGGGGCGATTCTAGGATTTTCATTTTAGGATGAGGATATATATACATACAGTATATTCAAATGAAAACGGCAACATCGTTTTATTAAGTATATGCATTTATATGTGCTTCATTTTCGCTGGAGGAAACCTGTGGTGTGATGAGGGTGAACGCAGCGAAAACTTAGGCTACAGTAGATGGGGAACCGATTGCTCCCCCATGATATTTTGTAAACAGTCATAACGGTGACGAGAGGGGCGGGGCCGAGAGCCGTGGGAACGGAGCAAGGCCGGTGGAGAAAATGCTAATGCACGACACCTGCGCCACTCACTGGTCTCGAGTCCCACGGAGGAGCTCCGGAAGGATAAAAGGAGGAGTGACGACAGTGTTGGAGGAGAGAGGACCAGGCCTGGACTTTATTTAGTGTTTTGTGTGCGGCAGTTGTCCGCGAGGGGCTGCCGCTTTACTTTCGTTTTGTGTTTATTTTATTAAAGTGTTAAATGTTCGCCGGTTCCCGCCTCCTTCTTCCCGACCTATGAACGTGTGTTACAATGACAAAGAACTGCACAGATGCAGATATTATAACAATCTATCGATAAACACACACCTTGTCCTCTGTTTCTCGCTAAAAATGGCCTAGCAACGCATACCAGAACGTGTTTTCTTCTTCTTCTTGACTTTTGTGT